GCTCAACTTTTTGATTAATCACTTACAAAAAAGGATCTCTATGCTCTTCTTAAAGAATATTATATTATCTATTAGTCATTAATAGGCTGCGTATTTTTATGAAAAACCACGTCTTTGAGAACACGATTATAAAGAAAGACAGAACGTTGGTAGAAAGTACCAAGTGTTAAAAAAAAAAACTAAAATACTAAGTGTAAAATACTAAAGAATCCTAGAAATCCTAGAAACGGACGAAAATCCGATCGTTAAGAGAATCATATCATTCTAAGCATCGTTCGCAATGGATAGATCTCGCTGAATAGAAAGGCGCCGCTGACGGATGAATCATTTACATTCAGATTCGCTAATTGCATGCCTTGGACGATGAGTCCATCCTTTGCCGGGTCATCGAAAAGGGAAATTGAGAAGAAAAACAGCGCGGTGGCCGGCTTGATTGCAAAAGCAGGAAATGATTACACGCGTCATCGCTGCGAAACGCCATCGGAACGTGGCGCGCGCGCATCAAGACCATTTCTCTCTGTCTCTCGGTACAACGAACAGTAGGACGATCCGACGCGGTCGAACGTTCAACAAGGACGTGCATGAAAGGCATTATCGACGACGTCTCGCCTCGAAATTGCGTTTCAATTAACCAATGATTAACGAGCTTCCTGGCCGGCGCAATCGGATTCGCAGTTGTTTAACGCGTTGTCGATCCGCGTGATCGATTATCGCGGAGAGAACCGACGACTTTATGTTCAATTTTGGTACCGTCGATCGACGAATTCCCTTCGAACGAGACTCGTTTCCTCGCCAGTGCAGTGATTTTTCTGCCCTTGGATTTAGATTTGATCAAATCGAATGGGGAGTTCGAGTCTTCACGAGTTTCGTAATATGAACAATTGATTTGATCGTATCGAATGCAGTTAAGTAATTTAGTCCTCTTCGAACTAACTCAGATATCAATCGGAATTGATTAGTGAGAATTACTGCATTATTTAATTTTGAAAAATGGTAACCCTTTGCATTGTCGTCACGCGTTAATCCAGCTTCTTGAAATCAATATCAGCAGCATATTTTTTAAAATATTGTCGATGAATATTTAAACCATATTTGCGAACCGATCCGTGCCCATTTGCACAAGCAGGATCTAAATCCTTGTCTACTCGTGGATGTGTCTTCAAACATTTTGAAAAATTTCTCTTTTTACTTCAGAAAGTACCCTCGTAAATTATTACGTACTCTTGGATCAAAAGAAAGTACACATTCTCAGATAGATAAAGGCAGAATCACCGAGATTCGACGAATGATCCACGTGTTATTAAATTATGAAATCCCGCAATACTTTTGTTTCATTTAATTCAATTTAGGCGAAAGGCATTATAATTTCACAACAAAAGTGTGCCATCAGATTTCATATTTATTTTGTCAATAAATGTGGAAACCAACGACAAAAGTTTCATTTCGTTTATAAGTGTACTCTTTATCTTTTTATATGTCACTTCACGTCATGTTTGGAGACTTTTGAGCGTATTCCATGAAAATCTGGTATGTTATCATCTTGTCGATGAGTGTGTACTCGAAAGTAAAAATGTGTCGACCAATGTACGCTTGCACGTACACTTTCACACGCCTATCATCGACGCGACGTGTTTCTGCTGCATCCGCTCTAATTGCATCCAGTTTTATCCGCGGTGCTCGCGCATCTCCTCTTCTACAACGATTTATATAAAGAACAAACGGTTCTTGTTATTTATCGTTGTTAATCATTAACGCGTGTCCCCGTAAGTGGCACCTGTGCATCTAATACGAACTTCCCCGTGAAGGAGCGTTGATTGCCGGACTTGTTCCGCAACTGATAATTAAACGCAACAATTTCAATAACTCGAGTTCGCTGGAGAAGCTCGTTTATGCCATTTCAGTGTTTTTGCTTGCAATTTTCAGTTGATTAGAACGCGCGAATACACGAGAGATTAAATATTACTAAAATTTTGATTACCCCGTTATTTAAATATAAGTTTTAAATATTTAATTTCAGTGCCGAGTATGATTTTATTAACCCTTGTGTGCTCCACGTTTTTTATGAATGGAGTTCCTTCGAAGGAAAGAATACGTTTGAAAAGAAAGAAAAGTGAGAATGGAATAGAAATCATCCAGTATTCGTGATAAATAAGGATAGCATATGTATTCGAAATAGAATGTTCCTATGGACTCAATGAAAATATATAATTGAAAGATATATCTGTATATAGACCATATATAAAAATGATGGATATATATATTAATGGAAATATCAAATCTTATAATTAATTCAAAATCTTATGATTTTATTAATCCTTGTGTGTTCCACGTTTTTTATGAATGGAGTTCCTTCGAAGGAAAGAATACGTTTGAAAAAAAAGAGAAGTGAGAATGGAATAGAAATCAGCCAATACTCGTGATAAATAAGGATAGCATGTGCATTCGAAATAGAATGTTCCTACGGACTCAATGAAAATATATAATTGAAAAATATATTTGTATATAGACCATATATAAAAATGATGGATATATATATATATATCCAAGTAATTCAAAATCTTATGATTTTATTAATCCTTGTGTGTTTCACGTTTTTTATGAATGGAATTTTCGAAGGGAAGATTTACGTTTGAAAAGAAAGAGAAGTGAATGGAATAGAAATCATCCAGTACTCGTGATAAATAAGGATAGCATATGTATTCGAAATAGAAAATTCCTATGGATTCAATGAAAATATATAATTGAAAGATATATCTGTATATAGACCATATATAAAAATGATGGATATATATATTAATGGAAATATCAAATCTTATAATTAATTCAAAATCTTAATTGAAACCAAGATTTGGATCTGGAAGAAATCTTAATTAGACTCTTAAAAAATTATTCTATAAATCAACGTAAATCATTTTATTAATTAGACTCTTGGAAACTTCATTTGTACCAAATAAGAAAGAATAGTAGAAATCCTGTAACCACGAAATAACTCGCAAGGCTATATTTCGACGCTCTTCCGGCGGGATATTTGAAACGACAGTAAGAAATAGTACGTATTATTTATTAAAACTATATCATTATAGAAGTTTTATAAATAACTGTACAATTTTATTATTCCAACACCATAATCCAGAATCCGTCAATATCGACTTTCGCCTTTTATAAACGCGGATATTCTCGCCAAAATTAATATTAATTTCTGTATGGACAGAAATATGATTGTATAAACCTGTTTGTTGTCATTTTTAATGATAATATGATATATATGATAATTTACATACAGAATGTTTCGATACAGTATTTTCGTTAACCAACCAGAGTCAAATATATATGTCACACTCGCCGTTTCTAAGTGTTAAATTAAATGAAAGTACAAGTAAAAATACAATATAAAATATAAATCAGTCAGACTATACATGTGAACCTACACAAGACAGTGAATGAACCTACAGTGAAAGAAAGAATTTGTTTCCCAACACTTTGGACGAATAAAACGTCGGGAAAGGGGGACGGTTTTCCGCACGGACGAGCGTGAAATGTGAAAATGGAGATTTTCGTGGCCAAACGTTAGTCGCAAGAATTCCGTCGCGATTCTGCACGGCGAGTACGCGCGGTTAGGTTAAGGAGAAATCACTTCGGACACGTCACGGTCCACGCAAAGAACCTTTCGACATCGCCATTCGTTGAAAATCATTACAGGTGTAATCGGCATTCGTTCGTTCTGACGCAACAGGCGCATTGTTTCTATCGCAAACGAAATGCATCGACACATTCGCTCCTGTTCGCGTGATCTGCTCGTCTGAAACAAACGAACGACAGATACGCCACGAATTTTTCTTCTTTTTCTTTCTTTTTTTTTTTTTTCTGGTACAGGTTTAAAGTCGCATCGACATCATTCGAGGTTGTTAACGAATGTACTTATTATTAATATTTACTTTCAAATTCATCGATTGATATTATTTTGCATGATACATATTACAGTATTTTCAATTATTGCAAGATTTATTCATTGATTTCCTTTAATTTACACGATTGTTAATAAATCAAAAATGATTGAAATGATTTACTGGTGTAAATTTAGTTTTTTTCCCTTGACATTTTTTTAGGATTAATAGGAATGCCACGACGATATATTCAAATTATCCTGATTCATATCGTTGTTGAAATTTTTTACCATCTTTAGCATCTATAATTTCAATAAGTAGATTATTATTTTCAATTTATATCATATTTGAAAGATTTATATCTAAACGATTTATTTTATTTAAATTTAATCAATCTTCGTTGGAATGATTAAATAATTATCCTCCATTTAATCACATATTTAATGAAATTCCATTAAACATTAATAATAGATACCTAGGTACTTATTTAACAGCTTCGATATGCATTGTGACATGATGATTCGGGTGGACCCTGTTATCTAAGAGTTATAATAATTTCAGAGACAATCGATATCATAGTACAGATAGAGTTGAAAATTTCAACTTGAAGAGTTTCAATGTCTTGAAACCGATATTACATGCTATTGCACACGCACGACTCGGTCGAGATGAATTGACGACCCACGATCGCGATTGCGACCTGCTATATTTATAATATATAACGCTCATGCATATTCATTCATTCTGCGTGCACTTTACGCGCATAAAAACTCCATTATTCACTTGAAAAGTTTATAAACAGTGAGCTTCCTCCTCAGAGAATCCTCAGCTTTCAGAGTTCTCCCCCTTTTTTTTTTTTCTTTGACGTGATGGAAGATCTTCTCCTCGAACGATGATCTTTTTTTTTTTACATAATTCTCGCTCACGACGAAGTCCAGATTATTAATGACTGATTGATCTTGAGCGTTAATAAGTGGATGGGACGGTGTTGGCAATTTAGAAAGCAAAATGAACGCGATGTCTCCTCTTCGGCGTTGCATGGCCATTGACTGGCACGTAAGTTCCGTTACCATTCTGTTGCTGTTCCAATGCCAAGTATCGATATACTTGAAATTGATTCCTCGCAGTGTACGCTGTGCAAGTACGTTGCTCTCGAATGCACGCGTCACACTTCGTTCCTTCTCTATGTTACTCGAGCAAACAACTCAGCTCAATCTCGTCCTTCCGCTATTTATTTGCTGATTGCGCATATTTGTATGCCGGTCGCGTTCTCAATCGGTTGCGTCGTCTTTTAAGATTGTTCAAGACGAGTTCCAACCAAGCGAACCAACTTACGTGTACACTAAATTCCCGATATTCGTCAACAAGGAATTACGCAGCAGTGAATTTCAACACACTTCTTTTTTTCTCAACTTTCGATTCATTTTTCACAGAAATTCTAAAAAACGTTGAGAAATTGTTTTCTCCGCTGGATCCACCGTGATTTTGAAGACCGAGGCTTCCCAGCTTTACAATAACTCTGTGGGAATTTCTGCGCCAGTTTTTTTTTTTCACCAAATTATTGAACTTCGAACGAGAAGTTCCAAGACTTTGTCAAACTTCTCGCTCTTTTAGAATGTCTGCAAAGGAGAAATTTCGATCTTCGTCAATCCATGGTTGATTCCAGTAATGAAAGAAAAAAAACTCTGTACTGTTTTTAGAGTTTGAATTTTCAAAAAAAGGAGTATCTTTTACTTTCCCATCCGCTACATAATATAAGAAAACAATTTCTTTGGTGGGGGGGGGGGGAACTTCTTCAAGTAGAGGCTGTAATCTTTAAAAGGATACCAAACTGGATTGTCACACGATTATCGATTCTTTGCAAAGTTATAACAGTCTGAATTATCGACAATTTCATTATTATTCGTTCAATTATATCCTTGACTTGTAATAGAAGTCTCATTCTTCTGCAATGAAAGTTCAGATTCAAATAAATAAATCGACGAACTAAAATAATACGAAATAACCTAATAAACTAAAATTCGCGTAACTAGAGTGAATGAAATTCAAGTAAACTGAAGTTCCACTGTATAGCGCTGAGAACCCGGAGACTTCCGTTAATTTACACAGGAATTGGCAGATCACACAAACGATCTTACGACGCGACGCGTGAGAATCGCGTGTTTATTGAACACGTTCCGGAAATTCTTGCGCTCTCGTCACGTATACGTGTACTTTCTATTCACGCTACTCACCCCCGAGGCCCACACCCTGCACAGACCGGATCGTATAGATCGTTATCGCAGCAACGGGTGACGCGTTAAGTGCATAGATCACCAGGAGCGCGGTAGCAACGTGACAGTTGACTCATTCGCGCGGCAAACATTATGTATATTTTGTGGACAAAATGATTCAAACAAACACTGACTAAATGATATGTGAAGAGAAAAATGGAAAATACAACGTATTACCATTTATTAATAATAAATTTTCCAAAAGAGACTTCTTTAGTAAAGAAACTTTAGTAAAGATTGTGTATTTATATATATATAAAAAAGGATTGTAAATAATGATCAAAAACAGTGAGAACTCGTGAGAACTCGAAAAGCATTAAAAACAAAAAAAAAAAAGTCGAAATACCACGAAGATGAGGAATCATAGTGAAAGCCTGTGCTCTGAGAGAAGCGTGGACAAAAGAAGAAATTGACGCGAGCCTTCAGAGTGAAGCTGAGACGCAGAAGTTCTCAAAATAGAAAGGTGAAGCAGAAACAGGACGACAGAAGATCCTCCTCGTCTGCAATAACCGGAGAAGCAGAACGAAGTAGAAGGTGAGAGTCTAGGTTAGGCGAGGTTAGTTGAAGTTATGCACGAAGCTGGACGTTCGCCAAGGTCTCGTGGAAAGAGGTCTTCACTTCACAGACTCTCTGACTCATATCCAATATTATTTATCATTCAGATTAATCCAAAAGCATGCCATCTGTGAAATTGTCTCGCGAGGGAAAAAGGATTTTTGTCATGATGACGATGAAGCTGATATAAAAATTCTACTTCAAGTCGAATATCTCGATGTGAATATTTCGATCTCGGTACGTCAGGAATTTCAAATATGTATGTCTGTGAAGAATTATTGTTGAATGATATTATTAAATTGCATTATCGAATCAAAAATATTGTTACAGGGATTTCTTTAACCCTTAGTAACATGATATGTTGCATTGAACTCGAAATTATTATGCATGCCATCTAGAACCCTGTTTTACAAACAGTAGTATAGCTGTTTCATTCAGTTTCCAAATTTGTGAAATTATCATTTTCAAATCACTTTTATGATTCAGAAATATATTCTAGCCAGAGGTTTATCTATTCAGAGATAAATTTTATCTGAACACTTATCAGTTGCCAAGAAGAAATTTCATTTTAACTATTTCTTCCTTGCTTACATTATGTTTTTTCGTGTTATATTGCAGATATAATGTTGATATCAAACAACAATCTATGTAGCATCAGTATTAGGTACCTATAAGTAATATTGTCGACGCAAAATTTTATTTTATTCAAAAGTTAATACAGTTTTAATCTATAATATAATTTAACAACAGGCACACTAAATGTCAATATATTTAACTTATTTATTAAATTTGAAGAAAACGACATTACTTATGGATACATTGCCTTAACATTATAATACATAACTTCATAACACTTCGTATCACATTCATGTAAAAAAAAAAAAAAAAAAATTGTGATACTAGAAATTTTGTTAATTATTTTTATACGAAACATCGATGGAAATTTCATATTGAGCGATATGAAAGAATCATGGCATTAACCCTTTCGAATGTTTCGAACATTTCTAATTCTTTGTTAATAATTCTCTTCGTCTCTTCTCTCCGATTTGACTCGTAATTCCTCGTTAAAGCCATCTATTCCCCAGAGGACGTTAAACAGAATTTCGATCGATGTCCTTTTGTCGGTAACGAGTAACAGTAAACTACTTTCGACGGGCTGCGTATTTCAATCAATCCGCTTATTCCGCGGAGCCTCGTCGATAGCATGTCGCAACTGTTCGCAATTCCTACGAAATCGGTGAATTTACTTCAATTTCCCTTCAATCTCGGCTATCCATCGATTGCTATCCAACTCTCGATTCCAACAAACGATCGGCCGATCATCCTCTCGAATCTTAGATTGGATAGACCTCGAATAGAACGAGGAAAAATGCGGTGAAGGCAGTCTTCCTCATTCTTCTGTTATTCCGTCATTACTTCGTTGCCTAATCGTAACATCATCCTGTCTAAATGTACGTACGACGGCCAATAATTCTAACGATCCCGACAATTAAGGACGAATTGTTATTCTCTGCGGGAACATGTATATGTT